AAGAATAACAAAGTGATTTCTCACTGCACCTTCTGAAATACTTATAGAAGCTCACATCCATACATCTCCTGATCTTCCTCAAAGGAGACGGAGTACGCAGGGTGCATGACAGCAGACACTGAAAATGCGTTGAGGCAGGGAACATACTGCTCTGAGGACTCCATTCCTTTAATGTAAAGCATTCATTTAGTTAACTTGCTTATGCGACTGTAGTATGCTACCAGTTATTTTTAGTAATAAGGTGACATGCTCAGTTTGTGTAGAACACAGGTAAAGTTGAAACTAAAGTGTGTCTTCTCATTTGAAATAGAAGGCACCTACAATACAGCTGCCAAGAGAGAAAGTTTGCCGCGGGGCCCTTCTTTTAAAAAGTTCAGGAGGGGCTGACTCATTTCAATCCCAGACGGTATATAGAGGAATATATCACATTCCCTTTGTCCTAAGTCCCCTGGAACGGCTACTAACTCCAGCTTTGGGTGGGTGTGCTGGAAGTTTCTTGCCTTATTGGACCCAACGCAGCCCTTAGTTCATGCACACCGGCTGCTCAGCTTGTGTACGACACACTGACCTTGTAAGACGAGTGAGAGCGCTTAGAAGGAAGTGACAGCATCCTTCTGTCATACGTAGTACTACTGCAGGTTTCTGAACCAGTCTCATATCTTCTCCTTGTGGCCAGGGTAATGGCTCGGTGTGAAGGCATCTCCAGGGGATTTTTGACTCCCAGCTGCCTCTTCTAATATGTGAGGAGATGGCTTGGTTTCTGTGCTCACCGCAACTGCTTCCTCCCAGGTAAGTTATATATTAAAACCATGTTCATAGATTATTCCACAGCGTGGCAAGTCTATGGTCAGTGCGGGTCGCTGGCATTTTTTGTTTGTTTTTGTATTATAAGACCGTATGGTATCTTAAAGCAGCATGTCTTTCAGCCTTGCTTTCAGTGCACCCTTTCTTCCTTCTTAATTCTGCTGTTAAGAATTCACTTTGGGCTGATGCTTGGCACTTGAAAGCTCAGCCTGAGGATTTATTTTTCTATATGTCATTTTCAGAAAATTGGCCATCAAAAAGAGGTGGCTGTGAACCTTTGTGAGATTTTTTTTCTGAAGCAAAACGCACTCAGTCGCGCTGCCTGTGTGCTTGGGGGCTGCTGGTGGTGAAGGAGGTGCATAGCCATGCATATGTGCCCGTTAGCCCTGCCTTATTACATTTCGAACTCATTGTTCAGGTTCAGGCAATTTGTCAGGAAGGTATAGGCAAAGACCCTGAAAATACTGACTTTCTACAAATGTCATGAAAATAAGTGGCCAGCCAGCGGAGGCAGATCCTACAAACGCTCACCCTGCTCTGAGGTGTGCTCACTGCTGGTTAGACGTCAGTGAGCTCGTACCGGTGTGCCTCCCCAGGGCATAATCCATAGGAGACTGGACATGGTTGACTCAGCTGCTTATGGAGCTGCTTGTTTTTAATATGTGCTTTTTGGGAAGTCTGTAAGAGAACTGTGATGTCTTTCTTTCCTTTCTCTGAACAGACTGAAAGATCAGGCAGCAGCATTTTATATCTGATCCTTTTGTAGTAAAGACAGTTATCAGTCATATGCAACCGTGATGCTCGTACATCAGTAAAACCATCATGTTTATATGACACCCCTAAAACGTCTTTCTGAGCCCTTAAACAGATTTGTTGTAGCACTAGTGTCTAGCTAGCTGGAGTGTTTGTGGTTGCATCCAGTTGCACCCGCTGGGTCACTTGAGAGGACTGAGCAAGGCTTGGAAGTATTTTACTTCTCTGTGTGGAAGAAAGGTTCGGGTTAGCAGAAAATAAGTCAACTTCTTTTGGGGGAATGATACAAATAAATAAAAAAAGATTGCTTGCAGACGTTGTAAACTCAGCTTGTGCATTTCTCGGCGCTGTTGACATTAATTGGGAAAAGTGAATCTGTAGCTTTTATCAACCCAGTGGGTCTTCAGTTTCACCAGCATCTTTCTGTAAGAAGAGAAATACTGAAAGCAAGCAATAAATATTTGCTTAAAGTAGCGAACTGGGTGTTATTGATAGCAGATGTAGGGGTCGCAGCCTGGACCTGTGGTTACAAAGGTTTCCCCCGCGGTGGATGAGGGGTGTCCCAAAGCTGAGCTGAACGCGCGAGGCAAGGGGCTTCTTCAGTGCCCGGGGAAGCTCCCAGCTGCCTGCCTGCCTGTGGGGTCCCTAGGGCTCCTTGTGCCTGTGTTGAGCCGTACCTCCGGCTTAACAGCTGCGGCCCGGGGGCACTAGGGGACAGCCGGCGAAGGTCGG